GTACCAGAAGGCCTCCAAGAAGGATCTCTTTTTTAAAAAAATAGTATCAAAAGCCTTTTGATGAGGATATATTAATCACAGTAGTACAACAGCTTGGGAAATCCAGTCTATCAATGGTAAAGGCCAAATTTAGAAAAAAATATCAACGATCCATCAAAGAGTATTTGTTCAGACATTTCAAGGTCCTTCAAGAACATGGGCTGGTTGGATTAGAAACTTCTGTTACATCAACATACTCCTGGCAGATACTCAATAAATGTGAACTGGCAGAGACACTGTTATTAAATTTTTACTTACAACAACCTCTGCCTCTATGGGATGTACATTGTGGCCCATGGGAGAGAGGGTTTTCCTAAAGATCAAGTCACCTCTATACACCACTGAATTCTAAATGATATGGTCTCAGTTGACATTCTGAACCCAACAGGTCCAGGGATATTTTGAGTTAATGTAATGGAAACCAACACTCTCTGGGGAAATCCGCTGCAATGTGCTTCTGCACAGCTGTCTGCTCTATCAGTGGCCTTTCCCCACAAACTTCATCACAGTGCGTATCACATAGAAGACCTGTGGCTTCCCACAAGATGACACAGAAGATGCGTTCATGCTCCTAATGACCTCAAATACCACAGTTCACACATGGCTCTGCCACTGATAGACAAATGGCCCCTGTGAATTTCCCTGGATGTTTTTTAACAGAGGCTTCAGTAGTCTGGGAGAAGCAAGCACTAGCAAGCACTGGGTATATACCCAGATCGGACACTCTCCAGCTACATTGCTTTTTGCAAGTCACTTAATGATTCTGAATCTCAGCTTTCACTTCTAGGACAGGGCTATTAATAACCTTCTTCCCAGGGCTGTTCTATGTGTGAAAGCAGTTTGTTAGCTCTCTCAGGAATTTTATTATTTTAGAGCTGAGAAATTCACCCCTAGTGGCTACCCAGAGACAGATAGCAGGTTATGCCTATGGGGCTCTCAGATTCAGAGCTGGGGTAGAGAAGGACACAGTCCTTTTCTCTCAGAGACTAATGACTGCTAATGCCCAGGGCAATAGCAAAAGAATTTATACATTTTGTCACTGCTGAAGTCAGTTGTCAGCTTGACACACCTGGGAAGAGGAAACCACCATTGGAGAGTCGCTTTCACTGGATGAGCATGTGGGCATGTCTGTGAGGCATTTTTTTGATTACTGAGTGATATGGGAGGGTCCAGCCCACTGTGGGTGGTGCCATCTCTGGGCAGGTAGTCCTAGGTTGTGTAAGAAAGCTGAGCACAGGCCAGGGGAGCAGCAGTGTTCCTCCATGGTCCATGCTTCAGTTCCTGCCTCCAGGTTCCTGCCCTGAATTCCTGTTTGACTTCCCTCAAAGATGGACTATGCCTATGATGCAATAAACCCTTTCCTACCCAAGTTGGTTTTGGTCAGAGTGTTTTATCCCAGCAATAGAAAGCTAGCCAACATACATTTCTACACAAAACTTAGCACAACATATGTCTTTTCTTAAGAATGGTATCCTTTCATATCAAACAAATTGATCAGAAGTCTTGAGTTTTCAACAATTCCACTGTATTTTGCGTTTGATATTTTCCTTGTTAGAGCTGGGGATTATAAACTGAAATTTCCTAACACTTTTAAAGCCATTGTCAGTAGTTCAAATACATGGAACATATTGGTCATGAGTCAGTTACTAAGGGAGGACATGAGGCTATATAATAACTGTCAGAACAGTTTGTTTTCAGAATAAGAAAGTACAACCAACCAGACGTGGTGGCACATACCTTTAATTCCAGAACTTGGGAGGCAGAGGCAGGTGGATTTCTGTGAGTTTGAGGCCAGCCTGGTCTACATAGCAAGTTCCAGGCCAGCTGGGGCTACAGGGAGACGCTGTCTCAAAAAGGCCTTATGTTTAGGGAAATTTACTGAAGAAGAAGAAGAAGAAGAAGAAGAAGAAGAAGAAGAAGAAGAAGAAGAAGAAGAAAGTACAACAGACAAAAATCCCCCAAATTCTAATATCTGATCCTCAATTCTTTTGACTATTTTAGAAACACTTAAAGTATTTATACACCTCAGCTAAAAACCTAGCAGGACCCACAGTAATCACTAAGTTTTACTGAGCAGCCTGAAATGGAAAGGAAATATTTTGGGGGTAAAGCTATTCATAAGAGCTGACATTGTCATAAATGAGAACAGTTGAAGGAGTTGGTGATACCAAACTTAGGCAAAGATTTAGAATTTACAATGGTTTTCTGTAGTTATCAAGCTACACTGGCTTGTTTAAGCAGAACTACACACTGGCCAGATCCAGGAATATTTGGGATTATAAGAAAACAACAAAGAATTCAGATATTTATAAAGCTGATGATACTGTTTACCTAGGATAGGTGTTTGGGGTCAACAAGACTTCCCCCGCACATGGTGACATTTATATTTCTAGTAGAAAATTGTGGTTCTAGGATTGAGAACTGAATTTAGAAGTTATGTTCAGAACTAATGTGTTGGTTGGTTTTTTTTTTTTTTTATCAATTTGACACAAACCTAGACAAACCTGGGAAGAGGAAATCTCAGTTAAGGAATTTCCTCCCTCAGACTGGCCTGTGGGATGTCTGTGGGGTATTTTCTTGATTGCTGGTTGACACAGTAAGGCCCAGCCCATTGTGAGTGGTACCATTTATGGGCAGGTGGGCCTGGGCTGTATGAGCAACAGCTGAACAAGTCAGGGAAAGCATGGCACTAAGCAGTGTTCCTCTATGGTCTCTGTTCAGTTCCTGCCTCCAGCATCCTACCTTGAGTTCTTGCCTTGGCTTCCCTAAACAATAGACTCTAATTTGTAAACTGAAATACACCCTTTCCTCACCAAGTTGCATTGGTCATGGTGCTTATCACAACAGAGAAATAACCAATATAGCTAAGTGGATGGAATACATTTTTAGGTATTTAAAAAGGCTTCTGTATGGGCATAGGTAGCAGGCAAGTATCAGCATTAGATGAATAAAGTTTCCTCTAAGTGACTGGGCATCTTGGAAAACATAACTCAGGCATTCATTCTTGCTTACTACCAGAATCTTAAAACATTACAAAGGGATTAGTTGTAGGAGACCCTCATTCTTTAGGAATATTTGTATTATGCTAATTTTAATTTTTCACAAATGCTAGAAGTAGATGTTTATCAGCATATTAAGAGACGGCTATAAATTGAATACCAATCAGAAGCAAGTAGCAAAAATTTGAGCAATTTTGTTCTATAACCAGTCAGTTGGATAAAGTGTGTCTTTTATATAGCACTCCACAAAATAAGTCATATGTATGTTGGCTAACTAAAATACTGTATAAAACTTTTTGTATAAGAAAGATAAAATTAAAATAGAAAAGTGAATCAGTGTCTTTCTTTTCTGTGTTGAATGGAAAATATGCCTGCAATCTATATTCTAAGAAAAATTTTAGTGATTAACCACCCCTTGAAAATATTGTGATTCAATTACTATCATGTACTAAGTGCTTCTATCTGTTAAACTTCCAGAAATTTAGTGGTTTCCACTGGCAAAAGGAAGACTATCATATTAGGTTTAATGGCATGGAATGATATGTTACCACTGACCAATAAATATTTTGTGGTCTGAATACTTTTGCACTGAAAACACAATCTCAACCTAGCCTTGGAAACATTACGTTGCATAGGTAAGAAAACTAGGTCAGTCATAAATGAAGAATATACTATGGAGTTCCTGATAAGAATTTGATGAATGCAGCTGAAAGACGATTGCTTCATTTTGTTCTATGAATAAACACATCTGAAGATGTATGACCCCGTAAAGGAAGACTTTCTGGATGCAAAAATCTATTTTCTGATACTCCCTCCATAATGCAATCATAGGGCTACTTAAATTTATAAAAAATCCAAATACAACAGCATTGGGAGGGCAGAATGTGGAAAGAAAGTAAAGCAGAAGGGAGAGAAAATAGGGAGAAGAAAAGAGCAAGGGACGGAGGGATAAACATTCTCACTAATCACAGTAGCCAGCCAGGTTTTGTTTTTGAATAAGGTCTGAAGTAAAGATATGCTAACCAAACAATAACCTTTTGAGCAAAGTTTCATTTCTATTATCTGTCAAGTAAATAACTTGCCCTGAAATATTCATGGCTGCACAACAATAATAACTTGCTCAAAACCAGGATTCCCAACTGTTCATTATTAATTCAAACAAAAGTACAATTTAAAGATGTGTCTGGCATAAGGATGTTCTTCTAATTTAGGGACCCACGAGGTCCTTCCATAAAGTGAAAAGAGCATGTTAAGATGAAAAAGTTCAGAGCTTACTCCCTCTCTTGTATATCTTTGAGACTTGGGGTTTATTTCTATTATTGAGCAAGAGTCATAGTAGTGTAAACAGAGTCTTTAAAAATAAGGCACAATTATGGATTGTTATTTTATTGTCTCCCATGAAAGTGAACCAAAAGAACCATCCCAAGAATGGTCTTGAGGCACATTTTGCAGAGGTATGTCTGTTTCAGTTTGCTGGTTTCCTACAGATGGCTAAGGCAGGGGTATGGAACACGCTGTCATATTTCATTCATAACACACATGTACTGTAGCTCTAGGCAACAGATGGACAATCACTTGTTTAAACTACAAATGTGAAATACTAAGGTAGAATGGCAATATTTCTAGAAATGTATATTAAAAATGCCTTTCCAAGCCAAGAGGGATGGTGAGAGGCTGTGAGGTTACATCAGTGTTTCCCTGATCTCCCTAGCAGCTGCCATCATTTTCCCAACACCCTTCAAAACTTGATAATGGAAGGATCAGGGGGCAACCGACACAGATTTGACAAGAGAAGCTCAAACCATATCAAATGGAAATAACACTGTTATTCCTGACTGGTTCACATTAATAGGATTCGTTCTAAGTAGGAGGATGGTTGGCAGTTGTGTTTTCAGAGTCCCATCTATATTCTATTCACCCTCCATTGCACCTCATCAAGAAAATGCTCTCTTTTCCCCTGGATCCAAATACAAAATACTTGTTTTAATGTGGTTAAAGTTTTATAATCTTTAAAAGTCCACTATAAACATATTTTCAGAATTTTTCATAGAAAACAATTAGTGTTTTAAGTCCATTTCATTAATCAGTATATAACTCATGAAGCACTTTTCTGATAGAAATAACAATGTATTAACTTTAGGAAAATAACCCACATCTTTGAGCTGCAGAGACAGCAGCACCTCATTAACTCAGAGGTCTTATAGAAGGATTCGTGATGTATTCTTGAATTTTGAAGGCAATTTTGTTTGCCTAAAAGATTCTACATTGAATCAGTGAGATGGAGACCCAAGCAGTTAAGAAATCTTATTTTAGACAATAGGTTTCCCTATGGTAAGGCACTTGCCAATTTTGTGCAAGGCCCTGGGATCCATCCCCAACACAGTAAAAAAAAAGAAAAGAAAGAGAATATTATTTTGGAAGGTTCTGCAGAGCCCAAGGCATAGTGGGTTCTTTTCCTTTTCTGTGTATCTCATTTTATACAGAATTACAAAATATTTGTGCTCTTGATATTTTTTAAAAAGTCTGGTATATTTTCATAAGTTTTCTGTTATAGACATGTTTTTTCTACTTATATACTTAAATGATAATAAGATAATATATCAAAAGAAATAAGTGAATAATCATTAAGGTAATGTGAACTTTTATCTCTATAATAGGCAAAATGTTATGTAACTAAAACAGTAAAGAATAAAGGTGTCAAACGATTAACAGAAGAAAGCAAGAATGTAATATAAATCATATATTGAAGAGATTGTAGAATAAAGTATGGTAGGATCCTTTACTTATTAGACCTTGTGAAAGAAAAACATCTAATTCTAAATACTTCTGTATACATGTTTGTGCACATTCATTATTTGAAAAGTAATGAGTCTATATTAAAAAGAAATTTACTTTAAAAATCTTTGGTAAAGATGCTCTGAGGTTATGTGATAAGAATACACTACAGGTTGTCAGCAAGCAGAGCTCTGCCAGCAAAGCCAGGGTCACGGGTCTGTGGCAGCATTTTCTTAAAACTTTCAGCATGTAAACATTTGGCTACATAAGTAGTTAAATGTGACAAAAAAGTAGGATGTTTATTGCTCTATAGCTTAAATATTAGATAAAATCTTCCTTTATTAGCAAAATTTATAGTAATGCGACTATAGCTCCAGACATAAAACCTGCCCCTCACTAAACTGGACTCCGCTTTTGGCTTAAAGATATTTCATGAAGAATTTCATAGTGAACATGTTAGTGAGTCAATTCAAGCAGGCTGTATTACCCTCTCAGTCATCTAACAGTCAGTGTCACCCAAGGTCATCAGCACAGTCCAGCTTTGATATGGAAAGAGGAGTTGATAGAGACTCACCACTGTACCCTAAAACTCACATTCTGCCCCTAAGTGACTCTCATTATATTTCCCATTACAAGAAATATAAGATCAAAGTAACAAAAACAAGGTAAGAACAAGACAGCAAGAGAAGCTCTTAAAAAATAGAAACTTTGGTGGTTCTAACACAAAACTGTTTAGTGATAAAAGTAAATAAGTCACAGATTGACTTGAATGAACTGAGGAGCTGGGGTGACACAGGCTTACGAATTTCTTTTTCTTAAAAAAAAAACACACTTTTATGACACTTCTATTCAAGTAAAATGAATTTAACTAGAATTCCTGAGGCATGGGGTTGCAATTTTAAACATGTACAAGTAATTTGAAAAAAAATTTTTTTTTTGCTCTAAATGTTAAAATTAAAACTGTCAGACTAGAAAATCATCACATCATGAAGGTTTTCAAAAATGATCCAGAAGGGCTGGGGGGAGGGGGGTGCAGCAGAGTGCAGGCTGAGCATGCCAGGCCTGAGTCTAATGCCCAGCATTGCACAACAGAAGTAAAAAAACAGCTGTGGACTTAGAGAAATGTGACAATGTTTCTATGGGTGTTAGGGAGAGAGGGATCATTATATTATTATTTATACCTTTTTGTATACTTAAAGTACTCCATAACTTAAAAGTATATACTTGTTGAAGATCTAAAGAAAGGGTTATGAAATCTCATCCTGAGCTATTAGTTTATAAGATGGCGAGTTGCTATTGCTAAGCTAGGTGTCTCTCCTTAAATGAAGCAGGTGAGAACTTAGTAAATGTAGCTCCGCAGCTGGCAAGCAAGTGTCTCACTGGCTAATAGAGTTTGAATAAAGATTCTAGGCACAGAGATTCTGCATATTTTTAGCACAGAAAGACAATTTTTTTACCCAGTGATTGTCTTTAAAAGTGTGGTGTAAATGTCACATTGATGATATGAAAATGTCTCCTGCAATATGTAATTTGAGTTGCAGAAGGATTATGAGCATAAGAAAACTGGCTTCACAATCTTTCCCAGCTTTTCTTTCTTTTTAAAGTAAATGAAACAAAATTACATAACTTCATTTTATGTGCCCTGATTTGCAATTGTCAGGCAGAAAAAAAGATTTAGGTCTGGGTCATTAAAAAAGGAAAAAGGTAAGAATTTGAACCCTTTTATAGTTATCTTTCTGTACAGAAATAAAGTTAATTGTGATAATTATGTTTGGATATTATGGGGAAATTTACAGTATTTCTAAGATGAAGAGTAGGACAGTATTGGAAACGTTTCCAATGCAAATCTGTCTGTATTATGCCCAGATAGTGTGGAAAGGAAAATCTTAAGGTAAGATTATTGAGATAAAATGAGATTGTCAAACATACCAAACATAGGCTTTGTCTAGCATAGTCCACCTGCTTTCTTTTGCACGGTATTGAAGTTTGGTTCCCTTTCACCACTTATTAGCTAGTGGCCAATAAACGCTAGAGCCTTGGGCAGTGCGGCTTTTGAATTTGGATAGCTGTAAATTAAATTTGGGCTCCTTTTAATTTATGTATTTTCCCAAACAAATCCTTAATTGCCTACCGCGGATGATGTGCACCTTTTTTCTCCAGGAGACATGAGTAGTTAGAGCGGTGGGAACATGTACTTCAAGACCCAGCAAGAGAACTTTTATAATCACAGGCAGTGGAGGGAGAAGTAATAGGATGAGACTTCCAGCTAAAAGCACCTGCGGGCTGGCACATTCACCCAGGAAAAGCCATGTGACAGCAAATACCACACTAAAAATCTATTCAACCAGATGAAAAGTGAGACAAACATGGGGATTAAAAGTTACAGGAATGCAGAAGTGAATGGGATGGAGCATAATCGGTGCAAAAATGTGGAAGCCCTTGGAACAAAGGCTCATCAAGGTTCTACGTGATTAAATGTGAAATGTGTATTTGGTAAGAACTTAAATCTTAACATCTATGTGCTTTCAAAGAAAGGCTAACAGCAGATGAAGAACAGAGACTATCCCATCGCTTGAAAGCTTTGCCTCTATTTTCCTATTTCTTCTCTTCTCTTTTCCTTGTGTTTCATTCTTCACGGCACCATGCACAGAGCAGCTCAGCAGGCTACTGCATGCATCTACAGGTCAGTGCTCGCCTTCGCGGTCAACACCCTGATGCGGGCTGAGTTGCAGGTCTTGCAGAGGATGTGTCCATCCAAGGGGTAGCAGCCTTGGTTATCTCCTTCAGACAGAAGTCCACCACAATCCTAGGACAACGAAGACAGTGGAAGGGATATCAGTGGAAATGTGAAAGTCCATGTGGGAAATCCAGATTACTGAGCTTTCTTTACAAGGCTTCCATAATGTGACCATGTGCTACCTTACCTGTTTCACATACCACTAAGTGCATGCATCCCATCTCCCAGTATGCAACAGCAGATCTTAAATGAAATTTAATTAGCGATAAGGAACATAAATACAAATTGTATAAAATGACTCTTCTAGACACTGGATGTGAAGCCCTGCACAAGAAGGAAAGAGCAGGTAGTACTTTGCTCTCCCCAAAGCAGCAAGGACAAATAAAGATCCCTGAGGCATCCTTACCCTGTGTCTTTTGCCTAAGGATCTCTCCAAAAGAACAGACAGGCAGAAGAATGGAAGTTTTTGGCTATTTCTATGCAAAAGGAGATGATTCTCATTAGAATTTCCCAATGGAAAGGCTACCAATGGCATTTTTCATATTTACTGCACTTTTAGTAAGGACACACAATCCCAAAGATTGGGGGGACCTAGTAGTTTGTTGTACTTTCTATGAGAGAGTCCGGTGGAGAGGGACAAATGGGAAGCAGGCTCCCTCACTGCCTAGACACTGCAGATAAGGCTAAAGGTCATTCTGAAAATAATTCATGCATTTTCTACCTATGGTCAAGGCAGATTCTGGATGTGAATGCACTTTGTAAAGAATGCACAGAGCTACATAAGTGTAAAGGGTTGCACTACTATTTATTGTATCTGTGAGGGTCCATTTTGTAAAGTGTTAGCAGCTGAACACTGGTTCTTGTCTTTGGAGGAAATGGAAATGTCTTTGGAAAACAAACAGTACTGCATTTAGCACTGTGTGCCTCTGCTGACTTTAGGGGGTGCTCTAACAGGCCAGTGCTGCAGCAAAGCTGACTGCTGCTGTCTAAAGTGGAAAGGAGACGGATGAAGCCTTGACAAGTAGTACAATTTTGGTATAAACAGGGCTGGTCCAAAGTGCAACAGCAGCAATTACGTTCTACAGGAAACATGACTCTGCCAAAAAGAACCAGCGATGTTTCGTAATTCTAGAGGCCTTCATGAAACTAGGGGATTGAACTAAACAAAACATTTTCATCGCAATAAAAATGGCTCTCATGGTTTCAAGCCTCTGTGTGTGTGAATATGCACATAAGGGTCAGAGACTGATGGCTAGTGTCTTTCCTAAGTCCATCTCCACTTTAGTTTTGAAGACAGGGTTTCTCACCGAAGCTGGAACTCAGTTTGGTTCAGCTAGATTGGGTAGTCAATGAGCACCAGGGATCCATGACAGGACCCAACAGGATCCCCCTTTCACCACCACCCCCAATGCTGGTGTTATAGGCATATAAGACCCTGTTCTTAATTTTAGCATTAGTGCTGGTCATCCAAACTCAGGTCCTCATACTTAAATGGCAAGCACTTCATAGACTGAGCTATCTTCCCTGATGAGTTTCAAGTCTTTAATGGGTTGTTATATCTATAGTCACCTGGACCCCATGAAAGATTCAAAGTTCACTGTGGCATGGTCTAGACAACTAGATGTTTAGAACTGTAGAGCGCAGGGAGTCTACACAGGAAAAGGCCAGGAGCCAGTAGGAGGTGATTTGCCCAGTGTTATTCAGAGTACCTGGCAGGGTGAGAACAAAGATTCGCTCTCTTCTAATTCGGTGTTCATCCCATTTTATAGCTTTATTTCTAAAGATTCCTAAATTTGGCACACTGGGTCCAAGTCAAAACCTATTGGTATGCACGTGGAGTATGTGAGGAATGCTGGGAGGCCTTACTGAGCCTCCATTTCTCCTCTAACATGATCTCTAAAGGGCCTCTATGCTCTTACACCTTCATCACTGGGTCACTGGAAAAATGACTACTGGACATAACTGTTCTCTTTACTTCCTCAACCATAAAGCCTTGAGTAAAAGCTGTTCGTTTTTTGTTATTTTTTTTTTTTTCATGTTCAGCCCGGAGAGGCATACAACTTGGGCTTTAGGGCAAAACAAAGCACAATTCACGAAACAGATGGTCAGTTATAGCCAGGGCAGTGATTGGAATAAACAAGGTCCCAAGGGACCTTCAGTGTCTTGCTAGCCTGCATCCTCAGCATCATCTGTTTGGACTATGAATAAAGAATAAGAAAGCCTGTAGGAGAAGGGGTTGAACATTGCAGCTCCTAGAAGAGCTAGCGGTGAAAAAGAAAACTCAAAGGAGAAGGTCTGGGTAACTTGTAGAATGAAGATGAAAAAAAATTTTAAATGATTTTCTCAATCTGGTACCCTTCTGAAACTCAAATGATATCTGCCTACATATCCCCGAGGCTCCAGCTGAGCACCTCGTCTCACTTCTCGCCTGGGTTACGTCTGCTTATGGATTCCCGCAGCACCCTGAACCTGACTTGCCTATTGCTCTTAGTACTTGTCTGATTTCCTAGGTGCTGCATCAGTGCTGGCTAGTGTATTGATCAATCTCCATGACTTTAAACAAGAAGCTCCCGCCCCTCTGAAATGCATGAATTATGAATTCTCCTGCTTCGCACTGGGTGCAGATGGCCCCTCTGCCCATAGAAGCCTAGTTCTATACCATAGTTAACTACATCGTCAAAGTCCAAAAGTAAAGATTCAGTATAATAATAATGCCATTCCCACTAATTTTGACATATCATTTTGTATTTCAGTCTCACAAACATATCTGGAGAGGAAAGAATTTGAATCCTTCGTAGAGAAAAGTAAAGACTGAGAGGGGTAAGGTAAGTTGTATAGTGTCGCTTGCATTAAATTCCTGTGTCTGAGCTACATTCTGAGTCTGTTAATACGGGTGCCAAAGTCTTTTCCAAATTGAATGACTACTTTGCTTACAAACACCCATCTCAGATGGGTTTTCCACACTACCAGGTACTGGCAGAACTTGGGGCCCCCACACACCTCACAACGGTAGCAGTGCACGTGGAAGTCACGATCCAGAGCCACAATGCGGACAGTCTCCTCCTGACCCGGGGCTGGCATGATAGGCTCCTTGCACACAGAGCAGCGTGGGGCAAATTTCCTGAAATGGCAGAATTCTGGTTAGATATTGAGTTCAGACACCGACAGAGTGGTGGGGCACAGAGGGTAAAAAGTGTAAACCCTGAGTCTAAAACCTGGTCTGCATTTCCTGTGTGACCTTGACCAAAAGAGAGAGTGAGAAGGCTGAGGTCTCTCCAGATGGCACATACTGTGATAGCTGATGGGGGAGGGGGGTTGCTTTGCATAAAGACCATGCAGGACTCTTTAGCAAGCAGTATTTGACATGCAGTGTTCCTGTGCATGGATGTGGACTATTTCCTGGGTGTGGCCTGGGCAGAACCTGTGAAACCAAGGTCCTGTTGGTGTAGCTTCTGCTTCGAGATGTTGGTGTGCTTTTCTCAGGCCCTTAGCAGATATGACATTGGGATCTCTAGAACCTCTCTTTTGAAAATACATCTTGAATTCCAGAACATACATATACATAGCTCAAATACATAGCTTTTCTAAATAGCAGGAGTTGGCAATTTTTATATATATTACAACAAACAGTGTGGCAGAGAATGCATTACTTATATTTTGTTTACATTAAACTTTGTTTTAAGAGAAAAAAATTAGCATTGTCAATGTCATTATTGTTTAGAAGATTTTAGCACTATTAAAATATGTGTGTGCGTGCGTGTGCACGCACGTGTGTGTGTGTGTGTGTGTGTGTGTGTGTGTGTTTGAAACTACTGGTGAATTTTGGTATTTCTTAATTTGTTATTTGTTAATATGGCTTACAGTCCCTAACATTTTTTTTCTCTTAGCAGATTAATAGGCTAAAAATATGGGGTATGGATCCATTTATATTTTCTAGAATTCAGGGACAGCATTTGTGAAGGTGTGAAATAGGACATAATTTGAAATGATATGGACAAGAACTGAAGACATTTTTAAAAGGCATATCTGAAATTCCAGTACTGAAACACTGAGGCAGGAGGATCACCTTAAGTTCCAATGCAGTCTAGGCTAGAGTGGGATCCTAGGTCAAAAAAATAAAAAAAAAACACCTTCTAGAATTCAGGGACAGCATTTGTGAAGGTGTGAAATAGGACATAATTTGAAATGATATGGACAAGAACTGAAGACATTTTTAAAAGGCATATCTGAAATTCCAGTACTGAAACACTGAGGCAGGAGGATCACCTTAAGTTCCAATGCAGTCTAGGCTAGAGTGGGATCCTAGGTCAAAAAAATAAAAAAAAAACACCAGAGGAAGGAGAGAGAGAGAGAGAGAGAGAGAGAGAGAGAGAGAGAGAGAGAAAGGATGCAAGTAACTCAGGTTTTTCATGGTAATAGTTTTAAGATTAATGATGTTAAAATTTATCTACTTGTAGTGAGACTTAAAAGGAAATAATGATAGTAATCTAATACTTTGCACAGCACTTTATGCTTGTCAAAGCATTTTTACATACATTATACTTTCTATGTACATATTAATTTTCCTGGCAGCACCCAAAAGGCATCTGTATGGCTGTAATCTAAAATAAATATGAATTAAGCAGCAGATCGATTGATTGCAGTGAAAGAAAAATTAAAAGGATCATGGTACAATTGCAGCAGTAATCAAGGTTGTTATAATTGATATTTTATGCAATAAGTTTATATTCAGTGGCAAAAAATTGCTTTGGATTACCTGAATTGCTTTGGATTTTTGAATCTGGGTCATCAGTAATGAAACAAGAAGACTTCTGATCAACTGCAAAGTTTCCTTTTCTCCACCTCACTGGGTCTCCAAACTGCGTGGACAGAAGGTGCCCCAGCTTCTTCCACATTCCCCTCGTGGACTTAGTGCTCCAGGATAAAATTTCCTTTATTTACCTTCCTTATTCTGGTAGTAATTATTTCTGTCTCTGGCTACCACTATGTCTTGTTCAAAATGAGAAATTTGAACAATGTGTAATGACATGAGTCATCTGCCATATTTTTCTATAAGAAAGGTGCTATTGAATTTTATGTCTGACCCCAAGATCCTTCTCTTGAAAGTCCTAAACTATGTTTTTGCTAGCTAATCATTCTCTTAGAAATCTGTCTCATTTCCATGATTGGAAAAAGCAAAGTAAAGAGAGAGAGAGAGAGAGAGAGAGAGAGAGAGAGAGAGAGAGAGAGAGAGAGGGGCTGTCACTAGGGTGTTTCTAGGCTGGTATTGCAAAGAGAGTTTGGAATCTC